ACCTCTCCGGCTTTCATTTCTCATTGTTGTATTTGCTGTCACTTCCTCCTTAGATTATCTCAAAAGGATCTGCTGCTGCAGCAGGCAGAGCTGAACTTGCACTACCTGTCATTTGACTGCCAAAACATCATCAGACACAATCATGCCATGACAACACAGCCAGGTTGGTTATACAACACCAATTCAAACCACAGCTAAGCCCTTCCCTTCTCATTTCCAAACCTCACGAGCTTCAGGGGAGTTTAGGAGCCAGCAACATGTGCTTGGAGCCCAGAAACCACCTTTGTCCTGGGCTGTGTCACCAGCAGAGGGACCAGCAGGACAGGGAGGGGATTGTCCCCCTTGATTCAGCTATTCTGAGACCCCACCTGGAGAAATGGGTCCAGATCTGGAGCCCCCAATACAAGAAGGACATGGAGCTGTTGGAGAGAGTCCAGAGGAGCCATGGACAAGATCCAAGGGTTGCAGCAGCTCTGATCTGGAGCCAGGCTGGGAGAGTTGGGGTGTTCAGCCTGGAGAAGAGAAGGCTCCAGGGAGACCTTAGAGCAGATTCCAGTGCCTGAAGGGGCTCCAGGAAAGCTGGGGAGGGAACTGGGACAAGGGCAGGGAGGGATGGGATGAGGGGGATGGATGAAAAGTGTAAGAGGGAGATTGAGGTTGGAGATGAGGAGGGAATTCTTTGGTGTGAGGGTGGTGAGAGCCTAGCCCAGGTTGCCCAGGGAAGCTGTGGCTGCCCCATCCCTGGCAGTGTTGAAGGGCAGGTTGGATGGGGCTTGGAGCAGCCTGGGCTGGTGGGAGGTGTCCCTGCCCATGCAGGGTTGGATCTAAATGATCTTGAAGGTCCCTTCAACCCAAACTAGCCTATGATTCACCCAGCAGCCCACACTCCGGGTGCTGGTTTCTCAGCCTGTGACGTCTGAGGGACTCGCAGAGGTAGGAAACATTGACCCACATCCTCCAAACCTCTCTCCTTACCAGAAGGAGAACCCAGAACTGGCTCCTACAGCTCACACTGGTGGCAGTCACAGCTGCAAGGCCACAGCCAAGCCAGTACGTCACCTCCTCGGGGACATCATTCCTAAAGGAGTTTTTCCTGATGTTCCAGGGCCTCTCCCAGCCTCACTCTCTCCTCCAAGACCCATCCTGACAAGGCACCTCATTAAACACTCATTTAAAAACGTCTGCCCTCCAGCTCTGGAATCACGTGCTGGGAGCTCCTGCTGGGGTGACAGGTGCTTGCTGAGGAGATGCCCAACATCAGGAACGGGCTCCTCTCAATTGCTCAGAAAATAAAAAAGCATTAACACTGGACTGGTCTGTTCTGAGATCCCTCCACTCATCCCACACAGCACCAGGTTTTGTCAGGAGCCTCTCCTGCTTTTTGCCTCCAGAATCATGGAATGAGTTGGGTTGGAAAAGAACTTAAAAGATCATCTAGAACCAACGTCTCTGCATGGGCAGGGACACCTCCCACAAGCCCTTTAACAAGGCAGAGGAAGCCTGTGGAGAACTGGGTCCAGTTGTGGAGCCCCCAATACAAGAAGGACACAGAGCTCAAGGAGAGAGTCCAGAGGAGCCAGAGAGATGCTGGAAGGGCTGGAGCAGCTCTGCTCTGGAGCCAGGCTGGGAGAGTTGGGGTGTTCAGCCTGGAGAAGAGAAGGCTCCAGGGAGACCTTAGAGCAGCTTCCAGGGCCTGAAGGGGCTCCAGGAAAGCTGGGGAGGGACTTGAGACAAGGGCAGGGAGGGATGGGATGAGGGGGATGGATGAAAAGTGGGAGAGGGAGATTGAGGTTGGACATGAGGAAGGAATTCTTTGGTGTGAGGGTGGTGAGAGCCTGACCCAGGTTGCCCAGGGA